TTTGACCATGTCCTTACATACATTTTTGGCTTCATCATCTATTGTTCTTATCATGGTTTCTCCTATTTCAGCTTTATTTTCATTATTAAACTCTTAAAATAAAATCAAATACTTATTTTAACCTTTGGCGATGTAATAAGAAATGGAAAGCTAACTGAAATAAAATAATATAGTACCTATTCTTAAATAAATAAAATCTTAAAAATTTAAATCACGTACTTTTCGTACTAAAGTGACTGAATTCAAAAACAGTAATTTATTGACAATTAATAAAATAGGCTTGAAAAATATATATATATTGTTGCAAGCGCGATGATCACAGAAGAACTGTACAAGTTCTTCCGTTATCATGGCGCTTGTAATAGTGCCAAAATATCGAAGTACCACTACAAATAGACATGGTAAATATTCCGATAAGTCATATCAGCACAACAACCATGATAATTTAAATAGTTATATTAAAAACTATACCTATGTTGAAAAATAAAATCAAAATATTACATTGATTCAACTTTCCGAAATATATTTTTCAACTCTGTTTTATTCATTTCTCAGAGGTCACCTTTTTGAAATTCGGTCACTTTAGTTCTAAGGGTGCGACAAGTTGCTATGTAAAAAAACTATTCAATTGAAGTTCCTCTGTCCACGGGTTTGCCAACCATTCAGAATCTTTCATTACTGGCATCCAGAGAGCAGACGAGGGTTCTGGAATTACTAAACCACATGCGTCAACTTGGTCTTCTTAGAGCCAATCTACATCCTCAAACGATGTTTCGCAAAGGTGCACAATGCAGAGAAGCTCATTTGCCCTTCTGGCAGCAAGTCGCTGTGGTCATAGTCTACTTTCACGACGATTTTTAACAGTCTTGTCATGCATGTAACGACTGTGCATTTGCATACTGTTGTGGGATGTGAAATAGATTCTACAGGTTGCACATACTCTGTTCTTGAGATCAAATTGTACTGAAGGACAAAAAAAATCATAAGGCATCTGCCTAAACCCTTCCAGAGGGGGCGACAGATTAACAGACAACCTCAAATATTTCAATGCACTCCACGAGCGGGAACAGCAGGATTCGACTGCGTATTTAACCACTTAAATAAAATTTTGCGATTCACGGACGTAAGCACTATACCACTCCAGATTAGGTTGTGTTGGATCCTGCAAGTTATCTTCAGGCTTTCAATATTCCGCCTAAACATCGTAGTTTCTCCCCAGCGTCCTGAAAATTACGTTTTTCCAAATCATCATCAATAGTACCTCCTTTGTTATCGAGATGATGACCAAAACTTTCATGCGACAGGATGATGCCTGACAGTCATTTGCTGAGGGGGGCTTGCGACGCTCAACTCAGTTGTAAGCACTCCGCCCAGGAGCATTAGTCCTAATGAAAGGTCATCCAGGTGGTAATTTTTGAAGTGATGAATGGCAAAGTTCTGGATTTTTTGATAATGTGGGTTTTCGTCCGGCCCACCATCTACAAAGATGATGATGACTAATGGTTTAAAATAACTAAAATAACTAGTTTAATCTTCCTCTTGAAGATGATCACTTGGTGATCGAAACACGTGTCGAGGTGTCGAAAATAACGATTTGGTGTTGTGAAAAAACTCCAGTAATATTCATAACTAATCATTGTTGCTTTCTTCTTTGAGGCCTTCAACTTGAAGTTTTGTATAACATCATTTATATGTTCTATAAACTTTATTTTTTGATTTTTCTTTACAAGTTTTCCAAATTTCGTTGGCATTTTTTTGGTACAGTTGCGGGGGCAAGTCAGCATGAAAGCCTTTATAGGCTATGAACAGCTGGTGATGCAAATCTCCCTCTTTTGTGGGCACAACAGTATGAACTTACTTTAACAACACTGACTCTAATATGCTTCTCCATATTATCCATTTGAAACAATGACGACTACCGACAACTTAAATCAAATAAGAATAACGTATAGTACATTCGAAGAATTCTTCGCAAAAATTTGAAAGAAAACGTCAATTGGGAATTGGAAAATGAAACGAAAAGGGTAGCCAACTTTGGCGACTTCAATTTAGTAGATCTATATTTGAATTTAAAAAGAACAATGTTACGTAACACATTGTTTGAACCCCGTTCCCGCCCCTGTAACGCATCGTAGCGTTTTACAAGACCCCCCTCTCCCCTAAATTTCGTTACGTAATACTTGAATGACCCTTTATATCTTCGCAAGATTCTTTGAACCGATGAATATTTTATACCCAAATCTTCTTCAGCACTTCTTATCGATGTCTCAGGAAATGTGTGAAAATATGCTATAACATTAATCTGCTTATCTTCAGAAGTTATGAGTCGAGGCAAGATTTTTTATCCTTTAAAAGTTGATCCAAATGCATTGAAATTGTTTTGAATTCGTATAAATTTCTTGAGGTTCATTAGCGGAAGATTCGGATACCTTTCGTTGAACTTTCTACGTGTTCTGCTGATGATTTTATCACACTGTCCAAATATAATAAACAAATTCATAAGAACTTCGTTTGAATAGTGAATAAATGTCGAAACTTGACTAGTTAGATATACGCATGATATACATAGAAAGAAAGCAAATTTCAACATCTGAATTTGTAATAATACACAGTATGTTCCATTTGAAAAAACTTTTTTTCACACATTGTCTTCCGACAGTCCATGTCTCTGCATATGATGATTCAAATGACAGTGACCAGTAAGAAGGCCTGTTAGACATCGTAGTTCATCCCTACTGTAGTTTAACATCTGTTTGGTATCAAGCTTAGAAGGGTGGATAAACGCCTTGACGCCTTGGAGTGAGCCAATCCTGGAAGATTCTGCCAGAAGTCCATAAATCTTCTTGTCATCCAGGTGTTCAATATTTCTTTGGCAAGGCACAGAGCGATGCCAATGACAGGTTCTGGTCCGATTAAGCTGCTTGCAGCACCCTCCTTTGCAAGAGAGTCAACAGTTTCATTACCTTCCAGGCCAGTATGGCCAGGAATCCAGCTTAGTCAGACAATAAATCCAAAGCAATGTGGCAGGTTATCAAAGAAGTGAAAGAGTCACCTCAAAATGGACAGTTTGAACCCAATAATCCCCATGAGGTTGCAAATTTTTTCAAGGAATACTTTATAAATGCGGCCCATGAACTCTTGACAATAAAAAAAAATAAGGTATGGTAAGTGGATTTGAAACATGGATATCTGAAAAATAGGTTGATTGAAACAGCTCTGGTTCACTTCAACAATTAAATTGTAGAATCAATGGAAAGGGAAGATCTGGCCTGCGGGATTTTTCTGGATTTATCCAAGGCCTTTGATTGTATAGATCACAATATTTTGCTGCAAAAACTTTTTATATATGGTATATGAGGTAACACTTATAATTGGTTTTTCTCAAAAACAGAAAGCAGATAGAAGAACCCAACCATAAAAACAAAAAAGTTAGATCAGCGGCTTTGGCCACATTGGTAGGAGTCCCGCAGGGTAGTACTCTCGGGGCAATACTTTTCTTTTTTTTTATTAATGACATCAGCAAGGCTACAAAAAATGTAAATTGTGCTCATCTGATCAACTATGCTGATGAAACCAATCTCCTCCTGACTGACTGACTTGTCCACTTTACCATATATAATCAAGAACGGATGTGACATAAGCAAACAATGCAATGAATATTTTCTTGAGATAAAATTGATTTTAAATAAAAGAAAAACCGACTGCCTTATATTCAAAACCAACAACAGTTTAGAAACGCCACATCACGTAACACTTGATAATGAAGTTTTTGGACATCAACGTTGATAGAAAATATATGGGATAAGAGTACAAAATATGTTGATCTCGAAGTATTTTTAAAAAGTCTGATGTATTTCAGTTTTTCAGCATCAACATATATATACTTATTTTTCAAAGTTCCTTCTGCTAATTTCTTACCTATACAGTCCATATTCCCGAGATGTATGTAGATTTGAGTCTTGTATTTTGTGATGTACTTTTACAGACAAGATTTTCTGCCACTGTTTTTATGTAGGGCTACAAATACTCCGTGAAGTGAATAAACATATCTATCTATCTATCTAACAATACTGAATCATTACAGGTTTTCAAGAAATTGTTGAAGAATCAAGTTTGTAAAGCTATTTCAATTTACTAAGAACAAGCTATATCCATATGAAAGCTCTCACTGATTAAACACAAATGTTGACTGCTTTGTTTTTCTTTTTACTTGTAAGTAAAGTATGACATATAAAAATATGTATTTTTAGGTCGTATTTTACTGATGACACATGTGTATTTTTCGTCTATCCAACTGCAACTAGACTTGGATTGAAAAAAATGAATTGTAAATAAAAATTTGACTATCATTTTATGGTAAAACTCACTTTGAAATTACATTTTCCAGCGATTTGCTCAGGTGCAGCATACAATTTTGTTCCTAAAGCCAAACTGTGTCGGGCACTTTGTAGGGGACAAGCCAATCCAAAATCACCTAACTGTATCAGTAAATCATCGTGCTCAATTTGAACGAATATGTTACTAGGCTTGATATCGTGATGAACAACACCTTTAGAATGAATGTACTCCAATCCTGAAAGATGAACAAACATAACAATCATTTTTATAAAAATATATCACTAGTTTTGAACGGTATTGAACAAAAACCAATTTTGAGTTTTATGACGTCATAAATAGTTATTTTCCGCATATTTTCTGAAATGAGACATGTTTGGCACAGAGAATAAACCATGATCGGTTATAAGTACTGCCCTCTAATTGCTTGCAAAATTCGTATCGTTTAGAACCCTTGATTGCATTCTATCTCTGTTTTTCAAAACTGGTATCTTCGTCTCCTGACTTTTTTTGGGTATTTTAATCTTTCATAATCTGAAAAAATATAAATATATAATGGTCTAGAAAAGGTTAACTTTTCATGAAAAATGAAACTTATGTTTTTTTACCACTTATATTTGTAACTAACGTTACTGCAATTTGTCCTATAAAGATATTTTGAAGCAATTACAATAAACAGTTTATTGTAATTGTTTGAAAAAGTCCTTATAGAACGAAACTGCAGTAATGTTAATTACAAACACAAGTAGTGAAAAACATAGAAAATTTTATTTCTCATTTTTCATGATGATCTCCTACCACGTAGTAACAGCTAGATCCATCGATTTTTTGTTTCAACTTTTTCACCCCAATAAGTTACTGTATGAATTAAAAGTATTTTTTTTTTTTTAGGACAAAACACAAGCACTACAGAAAAAGCCTTAAGACGTTCTAAGAGCAGTGCCTGTAAGAAAGTAGCGATTGGGTGATTAAATTCATTTGGAAAAACGTTCTCAGGAAATTTATTCCACATAAACGCAGTTCTCCAAATGAAAGTGTTCTTAAACAGTGAGGTTCAAGGTGTACTGTGTTGAACCTCGAAACAATGAGCAGCCACAGTCCATCACGTTTTTTTGTTATGCACTACGTTTTTTTGTTATGCACTACTCTTGGTGGAATCAAATGTGCCAAGTCATTTGAACACCTCCCATGGAAGTATCTATAAAAGAAAGACAAATCTCCAACCTTTCTTTGATGAAAGTATAAACTTCCCCAAGAAATAGTTTCCTAGCTATAAGTTTACAGTAATTCAGACAGTATATTTGTCATTTTTGTAAATAGTGTTAAAGCAATTACTTTTTTACTAACCACTATATATGAACTAATTTGAATCATTTTGTTTTATTATTTTTAAAAATTTTGTAATAAGATCAGGAACACTAGAAAAGTGAAATGAATTAACATAAGAAAATGATTATCATTTTCATATGAATGGAGAATCATGATTGTAACTACAGATAAAAATATGAATGGTACCTGTCCAAATCCTCCTCCAGCTATGAACTCTACTTCCTCAAATTCCAGGTGATAGTGAGAATGTACTTCAACTTTCGGCCACATGGGACTCAACAGTAGAGAATTGTCCCCCTTTTTGAAAGCAGTCAGAAGATGAATGAAAACTCTTTGATACTCATTACGAATTCCTTCGAATTCACTCATTGTGTAACTTTCTCCAAGAAGGTTCATGTTGTACAATTTATCACACATAACTTTGTACATCATTGATGATTGCTTTGGATCAGACTCATAAATTGCTATTAATTTTTTTATTAATGATTCTATAAGTATACTAGCAGGAATTGGCACAGCATGTTTGGACTTTAAACATAAAGACTGGGATTGTGACTCTTCAGTATTTGATATTTCATCCTCGCAAGGTACATCCGACAATTTTTGATCATCAGTATTAATTGCATCACTTTGGGCCTGGGACATGTCAGAACCTCTTTGTTTTTCAAATGCAAATATTCTAGAATATTCATATAAGTTCCAGTTACAATAAATCGTTCAGAGTAACTTCTTAATTTTCAATACTAGTCCTCTATATATAACACTAAAAAGAAGTGCAATAAAAACTTTTCAGTAGCAAAAAATTTAAAAACTTAAAAAAATGTGAAAAACTAAATAGACCTCAGAACTTCTTCTTCTCTTTTTTATGGTATTTGCTTCTCTTACGGCGCAGTAGACCAGTCTCCTCCCATTGCTACGCGGATGTTATGCAATAGTCGCTTCGTCCGGTGCTCAGAGTAATAATAAGACATAGAGTTGCCATGTCTATGTCTATGTGTTTTGAAACGGGTATCGTACTATCCTTTTCTGTACAACTTCTGGGCGAGGGGGGTGGAGGGTAATGAGTGGTTATGGAGTGTTTGTTTACATTTGAAGTAAGTTGGACTATAAGACAGTGGCGGTTGGTTTAGTTGATAATCGGAGGGTACTATATATTTATAAAATAAAACATTTCAGGTGAAAATGTATTCTGTTTAAATAGTTCCTACAGGAAATCTGATTTATTATTA